ATTCGTACTCCTAATTTTTATTTTCAAAATTTAATATTTATTCCTGTTTCTAATTCCTATTCCTGATCCTCCATTGTGCACAGTACCTTATAGCTGCGAAGAGCAAGCTATTAACGTTATCACATCATTCTATCTTTATTACTTATTAGATGCTTATTAGATAAATCAAGGATATAATGATGCAATAGCGTTAATAACACGTTCTCCAATACAGCACATATTGTATAAATACATATGTCAATTTTGTTTTTATATTTTTATCAAATAATATAAGATATAAACAAGATTGTAATGTATGTATTTTTCATAAGTTAAAATTTATATTTTAATAATATCTTTAATAGTAAATTATTTTTATTTTGAAAAATTGACAAAGAATAAACAAAAAATATGTGCACAGGTATTTTAAAGCGTTTGTAACTATAGAAAGCAACAACGAAAGTGATACTAAAAGAGCAAAACAAAGATTTTATGAATTGAATCCTGCAAATATCTTCATAAATTTTGATCGGACTCCACATATAAACTGTGTTGCCAAGTATAATAATTTTCTTCAAACTTGCTCACATCGGTCGATTTTTGAGCAATCTCTTGAAAAACTTAGGTAAAGAAGATAAAACATATTAGATTTAATTATTGTTATGCGTTTTAATATTATCAATATTATATTAAATATTAATTTCTGTTGTATTAGACAATTTTATCAGAATCCGGAATATATTTCAATATGTATCGATGGTAGTATAGGATCAAGCATTGTTATTCATCTCGCTCATATATGTAAAACTCAATTGCATTTTGATACCAAATTGCAAGTAGTTTGCTTCAAGAAAAAAGAGATGCCGGTTGATATAGAAGAATTTATCAAGGAAATGATTGACAAGTAAAGTATACAAAGTTATCTATTGCCTAAATTATGATTTGAGAAGAATAATTTAAATTAATATTATATATAATAAATATATAATATATATTTGTAATAAATGAAATTTTTAATAAATAAATATTTCTTAGATATAATTTAATAGTATACACCGTGGAAAATACAACTGATAGTAAGATAAATGCAAGCATTTCGCATTTACGGACATTATTAGTTGGAACGATCGAAAAAACTGGCAAAGATAAAGTTAATCTCAATTATGAAAGTTTAAAGTATAATCATATAAATTTAGAAATTTATAATCCTTTGAATAACTGGACGAAGAAAGACGTATGGACTCTTGCTTCATCATTGTATTTACCATATAAATTGCCAATTTGAAGAAAAATGGTAAGAAGAAATTACATTTTAATAATATACTTATGATATTATTCTATGTTTTGCATTATGTTTTGCATAATGCATGAATGTACTTGAAGAAAGATTACAATAATGATATAAAAATAAATATATGTAGGACGGAACTTGTAATATTTAATACCATGTAGAATATAAAATACTATGTAGAATATAAAAAGTTAATTATGTTAATTCTATGCCGCTAATGTTGTCACAATGTTGAATTATATAGCGAGACTAATTCGAAATTCCAAAAAATTTAACATTCCTGGCTGAATATTGTTTAATATTTTTAAGGATGAATGTAATAGGCGCATATAAAAACAATTTTGTATTGTTTGCGATTTTCAATATATCTGTTCAACCATTCAAATGGTGAAACTGGAGTGTACATGGAAGAAAGAGATACTGGAAGGAATAGGAGGACTAAGGGCGAGACCGAGGTATCGGTCGAGAGTAGAGCCAAATTACAAGCTCATATTACACATTTTTCAGCTGAAGAAAGCCGGCTGGCTGGAAAGAGAACGTCCTTGTCATTTTCTTTTATTCCTTCACTCGTTTCAGTCTTTTGAAATTTTATTCTGAGTTAAAGTATTTCCACTTTTATCCACTGGAACTTTAAAATGAGAGCGAATAATAATATCGACGTTTTTTTCACTGACTGTGTTTCCGCTATCCTGCAAGTTATATCCATCTATTCCTTCACCAAAGCTTATATTAAATATTCTATATTATAACATTAAAATTTTTGTACAACGAAAGTAAAAGAAGTAATTTTTACGAGATATAATTCAAATGATAAACACTAAGATAAATGTATATATGCTTGCACATATGCATGGGACATTGTAAACGTTTAAAAAATGAAGAAAGAGAGACTGGTAGCCTAGAGATGGAACGAAACGAAACGAAACGAACGTATATTTCCAGAACAAATATTTACGCGAAAGAGGTATAAAAAGAGCGAAAATGTGTTTTCTGTTTGATTTGCGACTGTATTTTTCTTTCCGTCGAACGGTTTTCTCCTCTTCTTCCCTCACCATTGCCGCCATCACTCAGGCAACTATCCAACCACTCACTTACTTTCGACTAGCGCTCCCCTCTTCTGCATGCTCTCTCTCGTGGATTCTCCCCTTGGCTAAGGTAGACAGAAGGGTGAAAGAGACAATTCTATAGGCCTACAAACATATCCATATGTACATATGAAGTGAATGTTTCACATGTTTTTGAGTGAGTTTAAAATGAATTATAAATTTTAATATTTAGTTATAAGTTTTAATTATAATTTTTAATATTTGGAATTAATATTTAATATTTGGAATTGCTTTTTTAGTGATGCTAAACAATGTGATATTAGTTTAATTTCCTTCTTTCCATTCGTCATTTTTATCTTGAAATTTTGGATCTCCATATTTTTTATTTTAGTTTAAAAATGAACAATTAAACAATGTATATGAAATATATGTTTTCTTGATACTGTGAAACTTTTAATTTTTATATTTTTTGATTAAAAAATATAGATTATCTATGCATGAACGTTATCTTATATTCATACTTAGATAGCTAAATCTGCAAAAGCAGATTTGCGCTGTATCTACTGTAGATTGTAAGTTTGCTAGCAGAAATACAACAGAATTTGATGACGGAATGACAGGTTGACGGCAGAAATCGAGGATTTCAATGTATTTAAATGAATATATCACAGATCCTCGATTTTCGACCTATCTATATGGACTACTATATATCATAATAATATTTTTTGAGCTTACTTTCTTCCAGATATCTTTTAGAATATCTGGAAATTTATAGGCAGATTGTAATTTTTGTGCATTTTTACATTGCATATTTATATGGATAATTACATCTTGAGATAATTTTACAATTATTATAATATATCATTTTTAATATAAAATATAGAATATTTAATTGTGTACATTGACAAATATTGTGAAGTTGTCAAGAAGTTATGAAATTTCTTTCTTTTAGAATCTGTAATTTGTTCACATGTTGTATATTAAGCTAATTATAAATGGATTACAATCGTGACATCAAGCTAATTCTATTATTAGATAATCTATTACAAAAAAAAATACATTGAAATAGATTATACCATGTAAACAATTTATAGATAATTTAGTAGATAATATTCAGATTGTAATTTCTGAATTTAAGATCACGTTGGGCAATAATTAACAGTTACACAATTTGCTTATGTATTACAAATTAATAATATAATAATTTTGATATTGAAATAAAAAAATATTTTATGAAATATGAGATTATATTATTTGATGAATTAATATAGTATTTCTAAATTTGTTTTCTAGAAATTTATATGAAACAACATCGTTAACACGTATTATTATATAATAATTTATTTTCCGTTTCACGATATAGAGATTATTATACATATTTATTATAAATTACATAATAAATGGTACATAATGGGCAAAATGTTTATCTTATAAATAATGATTACATGTTATGATTAACAATTAGTGAATAAAAACTGATTAATTGTTATATGGAATAATTATAAACTATTAATTAGATAAATATTACTTTAAGTGATTTTTGCTTAAAAATAGTGATGATACGCAAACGAAATTTATATTAGGACATAAACATTTTTATTTGCATGAATGAGAAGCAATTGAGTAAAAGCTGATCCAAGCATTTAGTCAAGTCGAAGGGTTGGCAGTCCGTCGCATACCATGCTGTTATCGATTTCTTCTCGCTGCTCTCATTTCCTCTTTCTATCTATCTTTCTACCAGTCTTTTTCCTCTAAATAATTTAATTGTTTTCTTCGTAATGCCCCATAACTTTGGACTCGTCAATCACTGATGATGTGACTTGTTATGTATAGGATGTTTCACTTTAAATAACAATTAATTTGAAAATAAAGCATTTTTCGAGAAAAATGTTTGAAGACAAAGTTGTAAAATTTTGAGGGGGCCCTCATGATTATGACAGTGATTTATTCCATGGCAAATGGAACCATTAAGATTTTTTAGAGTTGTCATTTTTTTTAAATGGATTCAAATATTTTTTGTTACATAATGTGATTTCTTTAATTTTTCTGGGGTAAAAATATTAAGACATTGTTATAAAAGAATTAATAGTTTACGATATATTTTATACTTCATTCTGGCATGTTCTAACATAGAATATAAAATATCTCGTAAATTATTCATCTTTTGATAACCTTATATGCCCAGAATAATAAGATAAATCAATTGATGTAAAGAAGATATAATTGCTTTAAAAAAAATTACACAATTAGCAATATGCAAATATACTTGTTTTTTTAAAAAGCAATTACATACTTTCTCTATACTAAAATCGAATTCTAAAGATAAAAAATAAATATCTTTTCGTCATATTAACAAACTAAAGATAATTATTTTTCAATCTTTATAATATTGAATCGGCTGCTTCTTATTCGATAACAATCTTAAATTTTCAAGTTACCATATGCAAACAATAATTTTCTTTTCAAATATTTCCATGTTATTGTTGTATTTCAGGAAATAAAAAAATTTGTTCAAGATTTTCAGATTTTATTCTATATATTACATTGAGCAAAAAATATATGAATATCAGTTTTATTCTCAAATTTAAGAAGTTTGAAATTAAAGAAATTAAAAATGGAGAGAAATTTGAGAAAAAATAAAAGAGATCAATGAAAAGTCTAAAGAAAATTGCTTATATAGTTAAAATAGCGTTCTATAATTATTAAAGTAAATTCTCAAAAATTGTATCTTTCACTTTGATGCGTTTTGCTGTTCGGATAAAATGTGCAAAGAGCAAATTTTTCTCTACAGTTTTCTCTGCAGTTTCTAATGACTATAGTATGTAAAGTACAAGTAATTTTCTTCGTATTTGCACTTTCATTTATAGTAAACCATATAGTAAATATGGTGTATACGATATAGTATATAGAAAACCATTTTTTATTCACTTTCAAATGTCTACATTTAAAAATGTCAGATTTTTTTATTTCAAATAGTTATAGCTTTTTAATTTTGAAAATAGAACTGAATGTTTATTTGACTTAAATATTTCACTTAAAATATTTTATAGATTAAAATACAGCTTAAAATACTCTAACTTACATTTTTAGATTCCTTAAATATTGTTGAGTCTTTATTAAACACTTTGTATATAAATATGCATAAGCTGTATATGTATATTAATAAGTTTTCACATACACATGTACATGCGCACACACATACAGTGTAATAAAATCCTATCTTAAACCAACTTAATATTATTTTATGATTTTAATTTATGTAGATATTCATACACATATACTCACAGATTCACTATTTTCTTGAAGTCTAAAATATATTCGAACATATTATAAAAAATGTCAATGGATATCTCGTATTTTTCTTTTATAAAGAGTTAAATTACGCAAGAATTAAATTATCATAAAATTTAATTCTTTAGTAAAAAAAGGAAACAAATAGGAAACATTCTGTGTAACTTATTAAGATAGCTTAGAATGTATTCTGTAAATTGGTTGAGTTTTACATTTTGATTTATTTTTATTGCTATCTCATTATGCATTAATCTAAAAGAAGGCAAAACAAAAAAACACCATTATACAGAGTGCCTCTCTCTTTTTATTAAATATTACATATATTTAGACATTATAATTAAAGATGGCCACTTTTTGTAGTCGCACGGTATCTCAATGAATCAATAACTCATCATCGTGTCGTTGAAACACAGCATTAATCATCTCAAAATCCATATTTAAATTTTGTTCAACTCACCTTTATTAAAATATGCAATGATATGAGAGATGCGATTTTATTGCTCCGGGAGTTGAAGCAGATTTCGGAAATGGAAAAAAAAGCATGTCGTTGTAAGGGGGGAAAAAAAAAAGA